GATAAAAACGTTGAGCAAACACCTAGACAACCTCCTAAGGCTCAACATAAGAAAAGTAAAAATCAGGATAATAGAAAATCTAGTCAACCTAAGGACACTAGACAACCTAGACAAAAGCCTAGGAATGAAAATGTGCATGTTAGACAACCCAAGAAAAACTATCAAAATGATTTTGTGCATAAAATTAATTTTTCAAATAAACAAAATAATGCTAGAACACCTAGAAGAGAGAGTTTTCAAAAACCAATATTTTCCCAAAATAGGATGAATATGGTTAGGCCCCCTAGCTATTATCAATCTAGGCACATGTTCAACCCAAACGTAGTATGCCACTATTGCAATAGGGTAGGACATATAGCTTCCGTGTGTTTCACCACACATAAGCACTTCACCTACAATGAAACACACAACGTATTTGGTGCTAATGAAAAGAAATCCTTTGGAAAAGGATATTCAAATCATAAACAATCTCCACAGGACAATGCACAAAAGAAACCTTGTTATTTCTTCTACTTTGACGAAAAGAAGAATGTCCACATTCCGTTACCGGAACCGACACAAATCACACCGAGATATCGGCAATCCGTTCAGGTAGATTGGAACCCGCCAACCACGAGACGATGGGTTGGCCAAGGTAACTCCTAAACAATCATTTAATCGTGTATGTGTGTGTGCGCATATGGAAACATATTTTGGGTGTGTGTGTGGGCAATAAAGGTAAACTAACCCCCAAGGACCCATAGACTTACTTTGGGTACCAAAGTGCTGTTCTTTTTTGCAGGGACGGTCCAAAGTGAAGAATTCTGGAAGTCAGGGGGAACCAGCGATGGGTGGGTTATACCATCGCTGGGAGGGAAGCTTCTTGCTTTCAAAACCCCTCTTCCCATCGATGGGAACTTCCTCCCATCGATGGGTTATTGACTCTATTTTTTAAAAAATGGTTAACAGATTTCCAGAACACCTTTACCCATCGATGGGTAGTTTATCCCATCGCTGGGTGAGTGCTTGCTTTTGTTTCAGAACCTCCCAACCCATCGATGGGAAGTTCCTCCCATCGCTGGGTGCTTGACACTATTTTTTTAAATTTTTTAACGGATTTTCAAAACTACCAAACAGCGATGGGATGGTATTAACATCGCTGGGGAGGCTTTGCTCTTTTCTTCGTCAATTTCCAGAAGCCACCTTCCCATCGATGGGAAAATCCAAACATCGCTGGGAAGGCAGCCTTGGGTCCTTCCTCGCTTTCCAGTGGCGACCTTCCCATCGATGGGTAGATCCTACCATCGCTGGGAAGGCACCTGCATTTCAAAAATTTAGAGTCGTTGGGCACCACATTAATTGCCCAACAGCTATATTTTTGAATCCAAACGGCCTAATCTCCCATTCCCTATATATATCCCTCATATTTGCTTATTCTAATACACCATTAACATCATAATTTCATTCCTTGATCCAAATCTCAATATTTCTTCAATCTTTCTTCAAAAACGCCTCAATCATGGCCGGAGGAAGATCAAAGTCTAAGGCTTCCAAGAAGAAAAGCACCGCCGAACCCTCAAGTTCCGCCCCTCCTCCGTTCCCATATTTGGACGGATCATTTCTTGAGTTTGGGTCGGAGGAAGAACTAACACGCTTCCTCACTCACTTTGCCAAGCGCCCGATCTCTCCACCTCGCGTGCTCCCGGAGTTGTTTCCCCAAGACAAAGGGTACCACGACCTCGACAACCAACTCCAAGCATCGGGTTTGTGGCCATTCGTCTCCAAGAGCCGCTCGAGCTTCAATCCCGCCTTCGTCCGGGCTTTCTACTCCAATCTCCGCAGTGACGGGGACACCATTCGCAGCAGCATCAATCTCTACGACATAGAGATTGATTTGCCTACCTTTGCTCGGGTCGCAGGGCTGCCCATCTGCGGTGACGACATCGCAACCTATGGTGGTGACGATTGGATCCTCAACAACGAGGCGGTCGTCATTCGAGAGCTTGGGATCACCAACCTCATCCGCCACAGCGGCGCACCGACAATTCACTCGGCCCCAGCGGACAAGCGCCTATTCCTCTACATCATCACCTGGATTCTCCGCCCCCGGGACAGCAGCCATACCTCTCTCTTCAACGAGGATTTGAAGGCGATTCATGCCATCATCCACGGCGCCTCCATCAATTGGGCGAAATTCGTGATGATCCACATGGCGGATTGCGCCTCCATCGCCACTGAGCGGAGCTTGCCATACGCCTTCCTCGTCATGGACCTCATCATCTCCGCCGACATCTCCATCGCCGGCCCGGATACGAAGATGACAAAGA